AAAGGGGAAAATGAATTGTCGGGAATTTGTGTACTGCAATTCAGAGAATAGTATCTAATTTAAAACCACATTGTAGCTGGAATTTAAATTCAGACAGAAATGAGGTGAAATGCAATACAAGCCATCTGCAAAAAGTCCATTCAGCATGAATAACTTACCAGCCTGCATGTATTTCTCCAGCTGTTCTCGTCTCTGTTCGACCTCAGCAGGAGTCAGTGTGAAGATCTTCTTTGGAGGGAACGCAGGCACCACATTGCTGCCATATTCTTTCTTTATCTGTTGGTACAAAACACACTTTGTGAAGGTGAGGTTGCAGGATAGCAGGCGAGGCTACACAACCTGAATTTCTCTTCCCCTGACAATTAAGACAATTTGACAAGAGTCAGATGGTTAGGTTATCTTTTTTAAATCACATTTTAGAACATCTGTGAAACCAGATACTCAAGTTCATATGACTAAACCAATTACCTTCAGCACAGAGTAGCAGTCTTTTAAATTAAAGCGCTGTGGATTCATTTTTCTAAGAGGTACATTCATGCTGTTTGGGATGAATCACAGGTTTATTTTAAGCCCCATTTCAACGACTAGCTAGTGGAGTTTCCGTGCATAACACACACACACACACACACACACACACACATCTGGAGCCCTGACTGTCTAGTCATTCCAAGTTTACTTTGTCTTCCAGCTTCTTGACTCATTTCTTCCCATTTTCTATCTGAAGGCCCTCACAGATCTAACACCTAAATGTGCTTTAATTTGAACCTGTATGTTGTTGCAGGCGAAAGCGGTACATCACACTCATTGCTAGGAATTCACAGACACATTTCTTTCTTATTATACTCTATTAAACACTCAGGTCCTGCACATATGGCACGATGAAGGTTGGCCACAGCGGGTACCGGAGGAAAAGAGGTGATTTTCACCTCAACACACTGCCCTTTGGTATTTGCAGTTCGTCAAAACCAGCACTGGCTGCACATACAAATCAGCTCTCAGAGCCACAGACACTAAGCACAGGTTACAGACGCATCACAGTCAATATGAGCTCACACAGCTTCTTTTTTAGCAAAACTCGCCCCGCTCTCACTGTCGGCTTTCAACAAGCTCTGGATCTAGCAGAAGTGTGACCTTGTTAGAAGTCTTAGGAGCAGAGAAAACAAGAGAAACAATTAACATTCAAATTTCTGCAGCAGTAACTGGGTAGAGTGTGTGCCCCCGCAATCACTTGAGTGTTTTGGGGTCATGCATATACGCCACAAGAACCCCTGTGAGGTTGGTTCTTAAAGATTCGAGTGTGTCTACCCCACACCCTGTTGCCAGGCAACGGCAACTGTCAGACTAGATACCACAGACTCGAGGACGGAGATAGCAAAGTTTGGCCCTTGCTTGCTTATTTATTAATGTGTGAAAACAGGAGACTGGGCACTTCTATAAGTAAGACTCTGTTATAGGCTGCATACATTTTAGAGCATGAAGAGCTCCCAGGTAGGAATCCAGCAGAGAAATCCATCTCTTACAGACAATGCATCTACGTCATTTGTTCCTTAAAAAAATGTGCGTTAAACACTTTCACAAGTAAGTAATCTTCAACCACAGCATTACAGAAAAACAAGCGGGTGCTGAATACACTGATTGCCTAATAATAGCTCTAACAAATAGCTGTGGCTCTGTGTAAAGCTTCACCGAGGCAGAGACCAAAAATGGTTAAGACCAGGCAATTCTAACGCTTTCCAACAACATTTCTTTTTCAGATTAAGTTCCTTTTCCCAGCAGGTGAAGTGAAAGAAAGGCCAAGAACATTCCTTCCATGTCGCCCACCCCCTCCAACCTCTTCCAGGATACTGCCTATTTACATGCAATGGTAGGGAATAACGTTGCAAGCCTTCAAGCCACCGTACTCGTGATTCAAAGTGATGGGAGGCTGACATATCGACCATATGACATAAAGACGAGCGAAAGGTCAGGCCGGGTGGATGCGGTGGCATTTAAACAGCTTTCAGTGCGCCACACTTGCAGACCAGTCACTTCTGGGCCAAAGCATAGTGACAGCAACGGGTACACTGTGATGGTTGAAGTCTTACCTGTTCATGTAGGCCAAGAAGTTGACTGTAGCGTACCCGACAGTGCAGCACACCATTGACATGGATGTTGTAGGCCTGTGGGAAAGAATGAGAGGAAATCAAAATGTGAAGAGAGAGATTGTATAAAAGGTGTGACACTGTACCGATATTTGCATCGATCTGTCTGAAAAGCCTGTAGGTGGACACAAAAATCAATAACAGAGTCAAATATATGTACATATATTTAGAAGGAAATATCAATACTTATTAAAAAATAGTCTTCAATCACAGAGTTATTTTCAATGCATCAGTCCAAAGCTGACTGAAGCTTCTTCAGATGCATCTCCTGCAGGGTTGTAAATTCAGTGCAGAAATAAAACCACAACTAGTAAAAGGTAGTGGAGCAAAAACAGTTCACATTCTGTACCTAGAGCATAAGTTTCACTACCGATTTCCCCCAAAACAACCTGATTCTCCATCAATCTGAGCTTATCGGAGTAGTTCCTCGCTCTTTGTTTTCGTTAAGGGGACCAAAAAAAAAAAGTGTGAATTGGATTTAATAAAACCTCACCGACTTCCAAAGAGGAAGACAGAACCTGCTGCATATTTTCCTAACAAATGCATTATCCAGAAGCTGCCAAATACAGAAAGCAAGGAATGCATGGGGAATCTTTCATTCTTTCTCTGAGACACCCCTTGTTTGTTTTGACAGACAGAAAAAGAGCCATCACTGGATACTCCTCCACAAAACCACAATTTGGAATCAGCAAAGCAAATATCTGCTTGCCGTCGTGCTTAGAGCCAATCCCAGAGAGTGAATGTATTTTTCATGTCAAATGCCTTAAGTGTTGTGAATCATACTAAACCACAAAAATAACAAAGTGATACTTTAGTTATGCCCTTCATTTGCACAGGCTCACTTACAGAACAGCACCCTTGAACCATTTCCCCCAAGGTACCACAAATCTATTGAACCACCAGCCAACCCTTCCAAAAACGGTACTCATTCTTCAGATAAAACTTTTCCACCACAGAATCCAATAACAATCGCTCATGGGCAAATATTCCTAAAAGGTTTGGCTAATAATGCAATTAAACACATTCGCACCTAAAAAAATCATTATAAAGACATGGAAATGATGACCGCCTTCCCCTACTCTTGCTTGTCTCAAGTACCTTCATCTACTAAGAAATATCAGCTCCCACCAGGCTGTGTGCGGCTCTGGCCGGGGATGAGAGGAAGTGCGTTCTGTATGCTTGTTGAAGAGATTTCCCATTTGGGTGTCAAAGCACAAACTGTCCGTGCTTTAATCTCCTTCCTCTTCTGTCTCAATGAATATTTATACTCAACATAGTGGGGTCATCTGTCGAAAAACTAAATACACGTTTTTGAAGACTTCTGACCACACTGTTGCATGCAGTTGCACATGCCACTGCTGGCCCCGCACCACCAATCAATAGGAAAACAAAGTACAAACCAAAACTTCTAGGAGGGGAAAGAGAATTTGGAGGCAGGCCAGTGAATAAACTGAAAGATGTGTGTACGTAGGCAGCATCCAGGCAGGAAGGAAGAATGAGTATGCAGAACGGCTTGGCCCTGTTTGATAACACACAAAGATTAGCCTCAATTTTTTTGTAAATTGCAAGCAGTTCATCTCAGGGACACTTCAACATTCCCTTGAATATAACCACACTATGATGTATTGCGCATTTCTGAACACTTTTCTACAAACTAAACCCAAAAACTTGATGAAGATCCAACGGGAATCAAAATGCAATCTAAATGTTTTTGACCTAAGACACAACTGGGAATGAAACGTTTATTTATCTATTTAAACACATTTGGAGCCTTGGGAATCCTGACATTTGAAGAATCATCTTGCCTTTTTTTAAGTTTATACATATTGCTCACCGTCGGCGCAGGCTGATAATGGCATTCTGTAGAGAGCTTCGCAAAACTATAAATCGAAACAGATGAACTCATATTAAAGTCTGTTCCAGAGTCATGGTCACTTACAGTAACACCAAAGTCTACCTCTCTTTTACACACCCACAAATACTCATAAACGTACTTTAAATACCAGGTGAATCAGAGAGAGAGAGAGAGAGAGAGAAACTACTAGACAAGAGGAAGTGTAAGCACTCAAAACTAAAAATTTGTCTGCACTTGCACAGGATTCGCACCACATTTAAAAAAAAAAACAACAACAAAAAAACCAAAAAAAACTGCAGCCCTTGTTATTCTAAAAAGCCCTGTGCAAACTCGGCAGATTCTGTGGCCTACTGGTTCCAAGGTACACAGCCCATCTCTCAGCATTATAATCAAGCAAAGTCCCTTCCTGTGGACTTGTAACAGGAAGGTCACAATGACAGTCACAGGACTGCCAGCTGAGAGGTGAAAACCCGTCGCTTAAAAGTTCCCACTGCAGTACAGGCTCAAAATGTGCTCAGCCAGGTGGAAACAAGCCAGAGATGGCACCTGAAGCTCAATTTAGAAAACCTATCGACTTTCAGCAGCAAGAGTAGGTGTTAGCAGAACAATGTGGTCGGGAAATAAACTGCATTAGATCAAAATCCAATTCCTGCACAGCGCGTTTACCACTTCTACAGGAAAAGTAGGAAACTAAGTTCATATCCAAAGCTTAATATGATACTTCTGGAGGCATCAGGGACGGTGAATACACTGACATGTTCAAATATTAATGAGCTTACTCCAAGGTTGTTTCCTCTTCGGAGCACATGGAGTCAAGATGGAGAATAGTTATTCGCAGGTGTGTGACATTGAGGACAGCCAGTGTGATGTCGCATGGAAATCAGATGGCGCAGATGTTATTTCAAAGCATCTGGTGAATGTGAAAGTAGCTGCATTCTTCCACACAACATCTGATACTAAATCTTTTTGACAATGAAAACTGTAGAGCTAATATCCTCAAGGATCCAAGAGTATCTGTTGTCGTTGGTTCATATCATATCCGTAACTGACAGGAAATGCACTTGAACCCAAGCTGTTGCCTAGCAACGTAATGACTTGTGTTTCGTGGTTAGGGTCTGCTTTACGGGCCCGTTAATAGACACGCGTTCACGCAAATTAACGTTGCCTAACTCATCAAGCAACACTGGAGACGGGGAACATATTTTGAGTTGTCAGTAATTCCAAGCAATACTGCCTCTGCCAGAGACGTGCACAATGTATCCCGACAGCGTCTGTGACTGATGTTTATGGCTTGTGTGGAAAACAGTGAAAGGGCCACGAAAGCCTAAAATGGTTTATGTCTATGATGCTTCACTACAACTCTCCTTGACCAGCCTCCATGAATTACCCTCTCTGAGCTTGATCCTCCACAGAGCATGTCTGCCAATGTGTCATGGCAATGCAAGGCACAATGGCAATTCAGACACGCACAGAAACAGACGAGAATAAAGGGAAGGAAACACAGTTAGGCTATGGGAGTCTGCTGTATAATAAACCAAGCAAGATGATGGGGCCACAAACCAACGCTGCTCTTGATGCGCTGTCAAGGCCGCTATATTTAACGGTATTTAACTTGTTAGTAAAGTTAAAGCAATGTTGGCTGTGTTTGTTCTCTGAACAAGAAGGGATTGTGATATCAATGTGGCTAATCTCAGGAAGAACTTAAGTGCTGAGTCAAACCTTTAAAACAAAAGGGACTCTGTTGTGCCAGAGGTGAAGAATGAAAGTAAATGACAAATAGTACCAGCTTAAGATGTACCATACCAACCAGGCAACATTTTACAGCCACATAAGCACATCTACCAAAATAAAAGTCCAATCATGATGACATGTTACCACAGGTTACATCCCTACTGCTTCAGTCCATAGCCATGATGTACTGGAGGTCAAAAACACTGAACTTACTTAACTTCCTCACGTTTTAACGCTCTAAATCCAGTTTATGAACCTGTCCAGAGTGTGTCCCTATTGAATATGAGATACAAATTAGCATTTAGTGGTGTAACTGAGGGTACAGCTGCTGCTTATTGTATTGCATTAGTCACTCGTTTTCAATGTGGTGACACATCACAGATCGTGCTATCAGATCACTTCTAACAGTAAACATACACACACACACACACACAACAACTCATGCTGCATTGACATTAGCCCGACCTGTGGCCGGCTTGGAGCCAGCGCTTTAACCCCACGGCAGAGTGAAAACAAAAACACAAAAAAAATGATCATGCTCACCACGTAGGTTGATCCATTTTCCCCCGAACGAACCTCCGTTTCGGGGATGGAGAAATGCATTTTTTTAGCTCGAAACACAGGCTGCTGCCCGACGACAAGTCCTCAAAAAACGCCACCACAGCTCACGATGGAGAAGAAGACACCACAGTTCCCCCACTAAAGTCCACACTGCAGTGACTGTCGGCGGTGACTACAGAGGAGGAGGGGGCTCTCTCACGGTTCATCCACTGGGTTGTAAGTCCGGGGAAAGCGGTGCCAGGCTGGAGGGAGACTACTGACGACTTTATTATCTCGCCAACAAACTCATGTACCTAAACTAGCATTCGCATACAACTTCTCCCACGTCGGTGTCAAACTTTTCCCACTGCCGTTCCCCCAGCAGCCATGTTTGCAAGTGTTAAGTAATTACACCTTCGCTATTGGCGTTAAAATACCCCCCTCCCGCTCACTTTTAAGTAATTTGCGGTAACTTAAAAAGCCACCTACTGTATGATATGAGTTTTCAACGTATACAGGTAGGTCTGTTCATTAGCGCCACCAGATGAAGTTTCCGGATAAAAGGTGCAGTTGGTTCCTACAAACAACACAAGCGTCGCAGAGCCGATGGCAAATTTTTTCGACATATGAGGGGAGACAGTTGCATTTGTTGTGGGGTTTTTGCTTGTTTTTTTTTTGTCCCCCTATCTCCTACGTTTGATGAAAAAAAAATTCTGTGCGGCGACGGAGGAAGCTCATAGATAAAATGTGATAGAAACGGCAGAGAAAGCAGATGTACCAGGGCCGTCAAGCCATTCTGTGTTCAGTGTATCTAGTGGCCCATCAAGAGGCATTGCAACAATCCTTCTGGGACAAACCATCTCATGTGTAGCCGGGGGGTGGTGCACTCATCACGGGGTAAAATAAAAACATAAGAGAACGCTAACATAACATGTCATATGTTTTATACTTAAAGGTGTATACATTTCAATAATATTTTATAAATATTCCACCAATAGGTGTTCCTATATATTTTGAATATGATAAAATTGTCTAACTTGAAGTCCCCACTGTATTTGGTGCAACCCAGAAAAGTGACAGGGAAAGCGCAGTCCAAATTCATTACAGTCAGAAAAAATGCGTCTAGATTTTGTCAACAATTTTAAAAATGTAATGAAATAGGACTGTTAGTATAGTACCTACAACCTACTTTACCTTTTGAGCTTAATTGCACAAAATATATTTAAAATTATTTTTTAAAATTGCTCGAATGATTTGTTGATTTTACATAAAGAATGTATCCACTGCATTAAAAACATTACATTAATCCAAATGCTCAGCTGTATGATACATTTTTGATTATTATTATGAAATTTTCTGAACAAATAAACAAGTGAGATGCTTGCTGTATGTACTCGTTTGCTGTTGTTTACTCCATTCACCACATAAGCGCATCATATTTGATGAAATGCTCCAGATTGAGTGTATGCGTAACTGCAGCGCAGAATTAAGTTAGACTTCTGGATAAAGTGTTGGACCAGCTTCCTGTCACATGTCCGCTACAGTAGGATCATATGACTTCAGTCGAAGAAAATGAAAGCTGGGTGCAGCCAGCTGAAATCTGTAGTTCTTGTTTTGATCTTTAATTTGTGTTTTTACGCAAGTTATCAAGTGAGTGAGCTGCAGGTAAGACTTGGATTTGATCATATAAACGCCGTAGTCTACTAGAATAAGTTATTGACACATCGTATCCACATAGCCTTGAAAAGCAGCTTGTTTTGGTAGAGGTACAGTAGCTGTAGGTGCCAGCGAGGATGAGTGGGGAATGTTGTTTGTAACTTGTAGTGTTTTGCCATCGTAATGCTTTGGAATCACAGGTATGTGAGCTGTGCGGCGGGACAATCCTGAATGACACCACAGTGGGCAAGTTGTGCTCCTCATCCGCTGGTCGGGTCGACGGACGCTGCTGCTGGACAAATGACAACACAAGTGACCCTAAACACATCATCGGGTAAGGAGCTCAATGTTGCCTTCAGGGTGTATCGGAAATATGGGGATTGCATTATATTACAAGTTGCAAATGGCCTGTGGATAACAAGATGTGGGATGGATGGATAGATGGATGGGGATGGATTATGATAGATAGAAGATAGATATGATAGATAGCATAGCATAGCATAGCATAGATAGCATAGATAGATAGATAGATAGATAGATAGATAGATCAGAAGTACGACATATTATTGGGTTGAAAACAAATGCTTTTTTTCTGCTTTGTTCTCTATCTGTATATGAACAGACGTCCCTGTTGTGTATTCTACATACTGTTATGTTAGTTTTGATAATGTTTTTTTTTGTGTGTGTCAGGTTGGATCTGTCCAACTGTTCACTAACGCACGTGGAGGATCTCCAGGCAGCATCGACGGCATTAATGATGTATGTACAGTAAAGTTTCACATCCTTTTACCCAACACACAGTATAGTGAACAGGCAAAATAAGAGAAGGCTTTCAGTGACTCTGTGAGGTTATGTTTAAGGCAAAGAAGACGACCTGTGCTTATCACTACTCCACATGTTGATTCTGCACAATAGTAAGGGCCCGTTCTGCATGATAAATTGTTGTACTGCTGCAATCAGGGAAACTTATGCAGGCGATTTCTTGGAATGATCTTTGTGTTGATAAGCTCATTCTCAGGAAGCGGGAGTTTAGCAAAGTTTCTGTTCCTGGCAGCAATGAAGAACTTGAATCTGTATTACTCGCAAGGACCAAAACTCTTCAACTACTCTTGAGAGAAAGAAAGAAATGAGTTAAAGCACATGAACTCCACACAAGTACATAATTAGAACTCCTCCAGTAGAAAGAATAAATAAACATGTTTTATTAATAATATCTGTGTGGAAGCGTTTCTCTTTGCCCTTCAGAATGTTTTTACTTTATATTTTTTTGGCTTTGCAGAGACCTGTCCCTCAATCCCATTGTCAACATTAGTGACTCAGCATTTCAAGGATTTACTGAGTTAAATTACATGTAAGTATTATAAAAGCTAAAGCTATGACAGCAGCTCACGAGTATAAAATTAAATTTTTTTTCTCTGTTTCTGTGTCTCTATAGGATTTTGCCACAAGACATAGTTTGTCCGGGAGGCAACACTTCTTGGCAAAAGGTGGAGGTCAAAGAGGGAAATCGCCTTTGTGAGGGCCAGAAAGACACGTGCAACCAGACTGGACAGCTGTGTAAGTTCCCATCCGATAATCTTCCATTGTGACGCATTAAATCTGCAGTAGCCTCCTGGTAATACGTGACATCTGTTCATGTCATAATTATTGACAATCCTCAGCCATTAACTGCCCTGAGAACTCCCTCTGCGCCCCCTATGGCCCCGGCTTCTTTGAGTGCAGCTGCGCTGACAACTATCATGGATACAAGTGTCTTCGGGAGGTCAGATCTGCAAGCAGCTTTATCTGAACCTTTATTTATTTATCTACTTCATTACGAAGTTTAACAATGGTGCACTCGAAAGTTATAGCATTTATTTTTATTGTCAACAGGGGGAGTTCCCGGCCCTCCAGGTGTTTGGGCCTCTTGGAGCATCTACAGTTGTGATCTCCATCCTGCTGTGGGTCACTCAGAGACGTAAGGCCAAGTCACTCTGAGGCGGAACCGCAGGCGTCCTCTTTATCTGCAATGATCTACTGAGCTGAAACTGACTGTTCTGAAAGGGAAAAAAACTGACACAAAGTCTGAGGTGACTCTAGGCTTTTTTAAAAAACGTTATGTTTTGGATTTTATTTTTTTTAATTTGACATCTTTGTGGGGCAGCTACATTTTATCTAGAGGCATTTTTTTTCAAACTGGCTTTAATTTTCTTTACTGCATCATCTGTGCAATTTTAGAGCGAACATAAATTTGAACACGTTGTTCCCAGTTTTAAATTCTTGGCAATAATACCACTGTTAATCACTTTAATTATATTTTTTAAATGTAGTCAACTGACACAAGATAATAATGAAGGTTGAGGTCGAGATTTGCTTGCTGTAAACGGTGCCAAACATGCACTGAATGTGTAGGAGTTTACACACTAGAACTACATGTCTTTATGCATATTTGAAAATATTTTGGTAAAGTCTTTACTGCATGTTGAACATGTACTTTACTCAGAGCGAAACCAAGTCAGGTTCACTATATGAATGATGTAAATCACTAAAACTTCAAGTATAACTGACTTTGTGCTTTAATTAAGTTCTTTATTAAATGTCAATGAGATGTTACCGTCACCTTGTTACCACATCTGACATGTTGTGTGCCTAGTGTTGAGTTACACTTCAGAATATGATAAAGATTTGACTTTCCTTTGTTCATCAGTCACATGTGGATAAATGTCTTGATGTTAATGGGCAAGTAGGTTTTAAGCTTCTTCCCAATGAGATAAAAATATAAAAAAATACATATATTGCTTTGTTTTGAGTTACCATGAAATCAAGCACATACAAAAAATGTGTTCACTTGAACACCGTTTATGGACTTATCTCTGGAAGTGTCACCAGTACAGTTTCATAAGCAGTCTTAGTGTTCAATAAATAAAATGGCTAGATAACTGAGTGAAAATCAGCCATTGTATTAACTAATAAATGACCACTGTAGAGGAAAGAGTGTGTAGCTGTGGACAGAGCTGTTTTCTCTTGCTGTTAAAACTAAAATTTCTGCTAAAATCAAATTTAAAGCATGTGAGAATCATGTGTTGACTTTGTGGACATAACAGACAATCTGCGTTCCTTTGCCAAAAAAAGTTTTACTACCCAGTTAATGTCTTCTTCTTCTTTATGCTGTTCAATTGATCAGGTCAATAAAAACTAGACTGAAGAATTTATGTGAGCCATAAAATTCCTCTTGAAATACTGCATCTCCAACTGTAATTAGGGAACCATTTCTGGCTAGATTAAAATTGCATGCTGTGGTTTACTATGGGAGTGTGTTGTGAACCACAGTGGAATTGTTCTGCTCTAAATACTTGCAATTAAATGTTCTGTTGTTAAGAAACAGTTCATAACATGGATCTGTTGAAACAGCTACACTATACACAATATTTAAAAAAAAAAGGCAGAACTATCCTCCTCAAGTCTCTGTAATTATCCAATCCTACCATAAAAACACACATGGACTCTGTTTAAAAAGCTTATGCCATTTCAGATATATATTTATTGCATGCTAAAAGCACGATATTTTGTGTTGTGTGCAAGCATTCAAGCACACAAACTCCCCGCACACAGAGAAACGGCCCCTGGGCTCAGACTGATCAGACTGAGCAGGAGGTCGTTCACTGGTCCACGTTTTTGACTCTCAGCACCACAGGGACCGAGGTGCACGGGATCATTCCCAGATCTGTGATGACAAGGTCCACAAAATCAGGCGGTGTCACGTCATACACCAGGTTAAGCAGGCGAAGTGAGGGCACATCCTGCCAGTGCTCTAGCTGGGTCTTCCCTTTGCGGGTCACGATGAGGTCATCGGGGTCATCTGGAAAGGGCAGATAAAGATAAATTCTGACTGATTCTGACATCTTTAATGAAGAATGTTTGTTTGGAAGGAATTTAAATACATAGATAAAACTGAGCAAAAGCATCTGAATTGACAGGACTGAACATCAAGTCACTTTAAAGAAACAGATGCGTATATTCAACAAATCCAACAAGCCACTCGTTATTTTTTATCATACCTAGTTCATTGGACACGAAGGAATCTGTCTGCACCCTCTCACAAAACTTGTAGGTCTCGCAACACACCAGAACAGGCACGTTAAAGGCTTTGGCCACCAGAGCTATCTGTGATGTCCCCACGCGAG